CTTCAAATTTATGGTAACCATGGATTAAAGAATTCCCATATTTCTGTTTTCAGAATAATGTCAATTATTAACTAAAAACAATATACTATAATTGCAGTAATTATCTTATTACGTTTATACATCTTGTACTTGGTTAACTGAACTACTTGTTATCTGAGATCTAACCTGTAATCACATGTTTAAATACTGAAAGGATTAAGCATAGTAAAATGTTTGCCAGCATTAAGCGGATATGTGATTTTTACCAGAGTGAGGGCTGTAAGTGATTTGCCAGAAGCTGATTGTTATGTTTCAGTGCCATGATTTCTGCACAGAATAAATGTATTGCTGATCTGTAACCTTAGTTACCTCTGCACCTAAGGCACCTACAGAGATTTTGAGTGGATGGATGCATTTTAAAGAATTATTTTAATGTTTAGGTAGTGGGGAGGTTAAATATAAAGCATTCATTATTAAGTTTAGATAATAATAGGGTTGAGTGTATGTGTTTAAGGAAAGTAACTAATAAGGGTAAGGTTAAGTGTTAAGATTAGGGGGAAGGGCAAAGGTAATACTTTAAGGACATTCTTCAAATGAAATTCATATTTGATCATGATGCCAATAGCTCCTTGCTCAAGTGTACTATGTCCTATGTCAGTGCAGTTAGGTAAACTTGTGTTTACTTTGATCATCCAGTTATGTTAAGGATTCCTTTTTTGAAATCTCCCTTCATATGATTGGATGTTTAAAGTTAACAAAGTTTCACTTGACCTTACTGTACCTAACCTTACTTTAGTAAATCCCTGCATGTGTGAAAAATGTCATATTCCTATAGCAGCGCAATTGCAGATGTCCTATCTAGTTGCTTTATAACCTTAAAACAAACCTAACGTTACATAAATGTTGGTAAAGCATTGCCCGTATGCCATAATAGGCATCTTCAGGTGTCTGCATGCCAGTTCAGCATACCTTTTCAGCATTTCAAAAGCCCAGATTCTGGAATGCTTTAATATGCAAATCTTCATAATCTCCTGCACCTAGTTCTTCCCCTCTCAACCACTGCACCTTACTATTGACCAGTGAGGAATGCTCAGAACTTGTCTGCAGATGTGCTCTTATCAACAAGATTAACAATAAATCTTGTTAGATACAGTATATTCTGATATCGATATCAGGTTAATTATTAGCAATACTGCTCTGAGAATGGTTTGGCCTCAAGCAGCAGTTCTACCATATCTATTCGCTGTATATGAAGACTTATACATCCTGACAGCCCATGAAGACAGGCTCCCTTCCATATACCGACCCTTTTCCCTTTGCTGTTAATGGTACAGGATGTTCTGATGTTATGGCATTAAGAGTGCCACACAACTAAAGCCAAACTGCACCTTTCTGTCAAAATTGATTTAGTAAAACAAAAACCCAAATTACAATAAAACTACAAAAAAGGCAGAAAAAAATCATCCTTGTAAAAAGTAATGATAATGTCATGACACATTGTTCAGGATATACAGAAAGTTAAATGTTTACACCAAAGAGAACAACTAGACGAGCTTTAAGGTATACAGTTACTAAAACAATTTATACTACTAATGGCAAATACTGCATACAATATATTAAGGGCTTGTTGCTTGTTTATTTATATTTACTTATATGACATGTAAAATTAAAGAAAGTGTATTATTTAATTTTTGAAATATGTTTACTAAACAACTAATGTTAAAGAAAAAGTGTGTCTCTTTAAAGCAAATATATACATTATATTTGTATATATTTGCATATAAATTTCCCACTAAACTTACCAGCTTTCAACAATTTGTATTAAAAATAGAGGCTTTTGTTGAATGCATTTGCAAAAGTATGTGAAGTCACAAGACACTTCTGTAAAGTATGGGTCCTAACACTAGTCTAACTAAGATCCCAATTTTGGACATAGCAATGTAGCAAATAATAAATGGGGAGCATGCATTGGAGGAATCCCCATCCCCTATAAAGCCTCATTCACACGGGGCGTATACGTCCGCGCGGCATGCACGCCCATAAACGGGCCAATCCTGGGAGGGAAGGGTGCTGTGTGTGATTGTGCGCAGCAGCCTGTTCTTCACTATGGGAGGATACTGTACACTGTCATCCGTGTCGATACGGATGTCCGCACTTGGACGCAGACAGGATGCGGACACCCGTACCCGCACAGGTGTGCGTGTGACAGCTTACAGCCGCATCCTCCCATATGGAAGAACAGGTTGCTGCGCGCAATCACACGCAACACCTGTCCCTTCCGGGATAGGCCCATTATGGGTGTGCACGCCGCACTGATATATACCGTGTATGCCCTGCATCAATAATGAAGCCTAAAGGTACAGAAACACAGAAGAACAGTATCTGCACCAAATCCAGCAAATTAATAAAAATATGGCAACTGCTCAGATCAATTTTCACATAGCAAAAGGAAGGTACATATGGGCAGGGCAATACACAAAATAGTGAAATACAGAACAAAACCAGCACACTTACTAGATAGTCAGCATGAAAAAACATTTGTGTTAAAAATTGTTGCCCTAAAGTAAGTGTAACACAGGTGTCAGACAAGAGTTGACGTACAGGAATTGGATATGTACACTGGAACAGTGCAGTTTTTACAATTAAGAGCTGAGTGCATTTCTGGCAGATCCACAGGTGTTTTAAAGGAATAAAACATGGGGATGTGTGCCTGTATTTCAGATATTTACTGCACATGTTAATTTTTTATTTTGCATAGACACTTTAATATTCTGGGCATCCCTGCTCAATAAAGATTTCTTATCCTTTTTGCATACTCTTTGGGGTTTTAACCAATAGCAACCCATATAAATTCACTCTGTTAAAGCCAGACAATGTAGATTCTGACTGGTTGCTATGGGTTGCTGTACTTATGAATATGCAATAAAAGAATAAGCACTCATTATTAAACAAGGCTATTAGTGTCTGACATTTGGATCTTGCGATTACAACTGTTTCAAAGTTAACCACTCTTCAGCAGTAATAGTAGTTGTGTACATACGTGACATGGTATACATCTTGTATAACCAAGTGCTTTGTTCTCTGCACTATATCATTGTGAGCACACAATGGAGGTGAACAGGTCACAATGACAATTTGCTCTTTTTCTGACCATTGAAGATGGCTTTTTTTCATGTCAGCTGGTAAGATGCAGGAACTGAAGCAGCAAATTGCTGGTCACAGGGGAGATGAGATAAATCCGTTCACTATGTGCCACTGAAGATGATTGATTTTTAACGGGCTTTGATTAAATGCTTTAAATGCTGAAAAATGTCTGCCCTCTGCCGTGTAATAACTTTTATTATTAATGCAGATATTTAAAGGATAAGCAGAATAGAAAGGAGGGCTGGACTGGGAGTGGAAGAATTAGATTTTTGAAAAAATTAAAGAGAAAAACGAGAATGAGCAAAGGTATTGGACCTACTGAAATAAACCAGTAGGGAGCAGATGCAGAATTTATAGTGCTTGAAGATACTCATACAGAAAACTCGAACGTATGAATAAATCTTAATCAGTGCACTGGACTGAATAGGTCATTCGTAGAATACTCTAGTACAGTGTTTCTTATCCTTTTTTCAGTCATGGCATCGTGTGATTGTACACAGCAGCCTGTTCTTAACTATGAGAGGATGCGGCCGTACGCTGCTGTACGCTCATCCGAGCTGCACATTCGTGCTGGTGCGGGTGTCCATGCTCGGATGCAGACCGGATCCATCCTGTCTGCGTCCGAGTATGGACACCCGCACGGATGTGAAGTTCGGGTGAGCATATAGCCACGTCCTCCCATAGAGAAGAACAGGCTGCTGGGTACAATCACACACAGCACCTGTCCTTCCCGGGAACGGCCTGTACAGATCTGTGCAGCGTGCACGGATCTGTACGGGCCGATTCTAAGCCGTCTGAATGAGGCCTTAAAGTATGCAAAATTTTGAGTTGAGTTCCCCCTTCACATCAAGTACCTCCTCCTTTCACATAAGAGCCCCATAAGAGTCCCCCCTCCCATCACACCAGGAGAAGCAGCTGTGGCAGCAGAGAGTGGGAGCACTCCTGGATGAAGACAAAGTTCCATCCATTTCTGAATAGATGGCAGCCTGCCTGGATTAGTGTCATTCCATGGTGTTGACAGCTGGTCTGTGTGCACCATGAGAAAGGCATGATGCTGTGTGAAAATTTCAAGGCATCCTTGAAGAAGCCAGAAGGCACTCCAGGATGCCACGGCACCCTGGTTGAGAAATGCTGCTTTAGTATGTGTAAAAGAATGTTCTAGCATTTAAAAATGTTTGACATGGTTTTAGTGGACGTGGCCTAAGTCTGCATGTAGTGATGGAAGCCAAGGTGTCTGGGGACGATGAGAGCAAGCTGTTGAAGACAGAAGTAGCCAGGGCAGGACAGGGGTGAGAGAACTTATCAACTCTGCATTTGCATAGAATGGGGTGTGATTTATTCAGATAGAATACATGGGAGGCACAAGGTAAGAGTAGAGTCTGCCAGATCAGAGTATATTGAGCGTGCAAAACAAGCAAACAAACTTGGCATTATCTCTTTAGCTAGTGCTGTCAAACTCAATGACTTAGTGTGAATAGGCAGTGATGGTCGGGATTAGGGAGGGACTAGGAGTGGTATAGCAATGAGTGGCAAGCTTGCAGCTAAACTTCTGAAAGCCAGTGCCTTTGCAATGTCACCACATTATCGGTAATTTCAGACGGTGGAGGCAAAAACAACACTTTGGTGACAACACTATAGTTTGGAAGAGGTTGCTGCAGCATCATCACCTTTTGGAAAGTGTGCTGGCATACAGCTTTAGATGGCACCATTAGAGGTAGATATTGCTGAGTAACAAGGGTAATAACAGCACTGAAGATAGCTATTTAGCTGAACTAGTAATTCTGGATTCATTTTTTATTATGTGTAACCCATAGTTCTATTGTACAGTTACCATGCTGCAGAACGGACTTATGTACTGTATGCCTTATGTCTCTCAGGGTCCACAGAAGACCGAGCAGCTCAGTATCACCTCCCCCAAAGAAAAGAAAGAAGAAGAAATCTGGGCATAAAAGGAGTCGGTAAGTAGATTTCGTATCCATCTCCCAGTGTTCGCTGTATGTCTGCACTTAATCAGGCTAACCCGCTGGACCAGAGCCACCAGGAGAAGCTAATGACAAATTGGCAACATTTAGAAGCTATTACTGGCTGCCTCACTGCAATGCAGTAGCCTGATTTTTTTTTCTAATTAGTTTTTTTAGACAAGTGGAAGGACGCTATCTCTAGACATGAATAAAGAGTGACTAGGAATGTCAGTCAATAAACAGTCTTGCACATAAATCTTGCCATGATATTTAATGGAATTACTGAAGTTTTCTCATTTTTATCTCATATAAGCAAGCAAGGTGAGAGGAACATATGTGACTTTTTATGTTAAGTAAGCATTTAATTGATATAAAATAGGGCATCAGTTATATTACGGCTGTTTAAGAAAGCTAGAGTTGTACTTTAACCCTTTGGCTGCCAAGGAATTTTTTTGCACACATGTTATAATCCACATTTTAGGCCTAAAAATTACTTAACACCCCCAAGAGTTATATATTTCCTGAAAGCACAGATCCTGTAGAATAAAATAACAACAGTTGCAAATGTTTATGTCACATGATATTAGCTCAACTCTTTATCAAGCCCAAAATGTCATAAGTTAAATAATACCCATTTTTTTTTTAAATACAAAAGATGAGGTTATGCCGAGTAAATAGATACCCAACATGCCAAGCTTCACAATTGTGTGTGCCTGTGAAACGGTGACAAAATATGGTACCCCAAATTGTCCATAGTGAACGCTTTAAAAGCCCGGTCAGGTCATTAGTTTAGAGTTAACTGTGAATATCTGCCTTTCAAATTATTGCTTTCACTCTGGCGCACGTGATGATACATAACATATGTAGCACAATTGAAGTTTTCGTACATAAGAGCTCCCAACGCATGTTTACGTTAATATGCGTTCACAGGGACTTTCAGTTTTTTGTTTTTTTTTATTTTACCTGGTGATAGGTACTCATTAAAGCCTATTTCCACCTTTGCAGAGGTATTTTTTTATGAAGCAGGTATATGCAGTTGATATGAAAAAAGAAACTTACATTCTTTTTGTAGTTTTTTTTAGTTTTCCTCTTCATATCCTCATGGAAATGGCTGTCTCCGTGCTGTGCAAGTAATGTGTGTATATCTCCCCGCCAGCCCGCCTTCCATGGGCAGTATATTGTGTGTAAAAGCAGAGCTGGTGTTAAGTGATCATGTTACAATGGGTGACAGCGAGGAGGGCAGCTATTTACAGTCTGACAGCCTGATGTCAGACTGAATTTCCTTTGGAAAAAATTTTTAAGTTATTAGGCTTTAGGCCTAATAAAAACTTTATGAAAAAATGAAGAAAGTCTGCAATGTGAGTCATGAAAATGTGCACTGGTATACATCATAACTGCACCTCTACATTACCACAATAAATGCTAATCACTTACAAAGGTGGAAATTAACTTTAAGGTGACATTAGGAGTCTGTTAGACCCCTAGTGTCACCTTTCCACTGCAAAGAAGCTATTCAAGTACAAATTGGGCTTCTTCAAAATACAAAGAACAGAATAGTGTTATCCCCAGTTTCTCTAGCTGCGGAATGACAGCTGAGAAACTGGAAGTGATACAATCAGTGTCGCTCCCTGCTCCATTCAGTGGGGAGGGGATCAGCAAACAGATGTTCACTGGTCTTTCTCCCCCATCTACCCGCCAACATCCATGATGCCGATCCCGGGCCAGGAGGAGGGGTCGTGGAGCCCAGGAAGCAATCACACATTCTAACATAGTCACGAACTTTTTAAGAACAGAGGCCCTGTTTGTAATCATTTAATCAGATAAATAGATTATAATGGGGAACATTAAGCTGTAATGTTCCCCATTATAATCCACTTTTCTAATTAAATTAAATGACATCACACAACCCTCGCCCCCCCGCCGCTCGGACTCACCCAGCCAGGATCGCAGCAGCCAGAAGGTTTCGGTGTGTGCACTGCAGGGGGCGGGGGCGCATGACACACACACTTCTCCTCTCCCTCCGCCTGTTACTAGGGACGCGACCAGTTGAGGAGGTGAGTCACAGGACCCGCCCCCTTACCGAGAAGCCCGTCGGCAGTGCGGGGCCCCGGTGTTCTAACACCAGGACCCTGCACTGCCCCATATTCCACCGGGGGTTGCCCAGGACCGGACCCCACAGCCTCAGGCCCTGGTGCGGCTGCACCGGCAGTATTTCCGCCCCTGAATGGAAGGCTTCACTAAGAATTAAGATATTCTTGTCCATTTAAACTGCCATTCCTCAATATAATTTATGTTCAATGACTGCTATGCAGGAATCCTTATAGATGATGTCTTTTAACTTATATTTGCCCTAATATTTTAGCTACTATCATAGGAATGTTTATATTTGATGTTGGGACCCTAAGGTCTGACTATGCCCTTTTTCAGTAAAACTTGAACCTGACCAATATTCTATGTTCCTTGTACACACAGATTGACAGAGAACAGTTCACTGTGGACTACTATATAAAGACTCTCCATTCTATATATGTCTACACTACATATATATTAATTGGAAAATAAGTATTCAGCTATTTCTCAAAAACAAACATAGGAGAGAAAATAACTGATAGGTTTAATAAAAGCTAATAAAAATTGAACAGTTAATGCCATTTGTTGTTATGGCATGAGATGAATATACTATGCTCATATGTCACAGACTCATCAAATCCAGTTTAATGGATTTGCTATCCTGCATACAAGTCACAAACAAGATTGTGAGATTTCAGGAGCTAGAAGGACTCTTTCTGAGGTCAATATAATATTCTTGCTGTAAGGCAATAAAATCTATTAAGTTGAAATTGAAGAGAGATTCATGTGATTTGTGCCTGTGCTAACAAGGATGCATAATAGCAGCATAACAATAACACAAGAATGAGGATCAGAGATCTGGGACACAACCTGTGGGTAGCAATAGCAATTAAGCAGAGACTGTGGCAGATGAAAACAGTCATGGCAAAAAGTGGTTGTTGATGTGTACTAATTATCACAAACAACTAAAACAGAGATTTGAGATAGAGATTTGACAACAACAAAAAAATCAGCTGAAGGTTGTAAACCTAGACCTGCAGATCCCCGATGTGAACAGTATAATGGCAGATACATATACATAATAAGAAGCTGTTTACTTTGTCATATCTTGTGCTTTTCACCAAAGCTGATGGTTAATGGAGGAATTGTGACCATTGCCGCCATGTCGCTATTGCTATACCAATGGGCAAAGTGGGTCCAGTACCAGATTACCACACTTATCCCTTCACCTCACTGGTGAGGAGGATATATATGAATCACATTGATTCTGAATGTACTGATTCTGTATTGCCTTCTGAGAATAACTCCATATCTATGTAGCTTGCACTAATTGCTTGACTTATTTTCTATGCATACGTGAAGTATGTGAAACATCTTTGCAGTCTATGACAGTTTATCCGGGCCAGCAGCAACATTACCCCTGAAAGCCAAAGGCATTGCTTAACCTCTAACGCCTAAGGCTTTCATGGGCTTCCCGATCACGTGATCACTGTGATTAGCTGTCATAGTGAATGCATGATCAAAAGCTTGTTGTACTGACTCATTTTCGTTATTTTATGTCCAGGAGCTATCAGTGACAGCATTGTCACAGTGCTGGGGGCACACGATTGAGCGTGCTCCCGACAGAAAACAGCTATGCATATATGTGGCAGTAGGCAATAAGATCCATCTGTGCTGCCACATATATGCTTACAACTCGTAGCAACAGGTTTATACCATTCTGTCAATACAGCCTGTGTGGACTGCACTGAAATAAAGTTAAGATTTTTAAACTAGATTGCCTAAATTTGTCTCTTCTCTGTGCTTCCGTATGGACTTGGAGATATTAACAGGCAGCGGAAGAGATATAAAAAGAAGGTAAATGATTAAGTGCGTGCTTGTGTATTTTTGAAACATGCAATAAGCATGACATGAAGTATATAAATGTATTTTTAAGGGGTACTCCATTAAATATATTCCAAAGAAATTATTTGTTTTTCCTCTTAGAACTAAAAGAAGCCTATACTTTCTGAAATATGTAGGTGCCACTGCTTCCTTTTTCTGAAAATGCTAGTTGACTGTCTGTTTCGGATTTTAATACTTTCTGTGCCAATGTCAAGCATGTGACAGAAGAAGTTTGCAATGGCCACCACCATATTTTTCTCAGTACAGATTAGCTTTAGGGCCCTTTCTTCCCTCCCCTTTCCACTATGGTGTTTCGCTGTACACACATTAATGTGTGGTATTTATCATTCGTTGTTTTAAAGCAGCTGATTCATTTACAATAGGCTGCCAACACAGAGCAATGGAACAAAAACTGGACCTGCATCTTTTCTAATGCAACGCACCACAGTGCACAGGTTTTGCTTTGTGACGCTTTGCAGCTTGGGTCTTTTAGTAACTACTGTACTGTGCATTGGGGTTCCATTCTAAATGACATTTTTAGTTTTCTTGTTTGGTTAGGCCTAATTCTCAACTCACAGATTTCATTACAGGTACTGCACAGTAATGTAACATCACCCTTATTAAGTAACGACTCACAGTGCGATAGACTGGTCTTAGGACATTTTTGAAGTACTGACATTCTGGTGCAAAGCATGTTCCAGGCTGAGAAATGTGTTTTCAGTCTTAGACCTCAAGCAGCTGTATAGCATGAGAGTTATTTTTGAAGAACCAAAGTATGGCTGCACACAAATGAGTAGGCAGTGACCATTATGTCTGCTTCAAGAAAATTGTTATACTTTTTTGACTGGATTTACTTTTTACATTCTAAAGATATTGTAAATATGTTATGTAGAGAATGCATGTTACTTGTCTTGCCAATTTTTTTATGTTATTAAGGTGCAAAATGTGTTTTTTTTAGTCATACTCACATACTACAAGTTGCTTAAAAGGTTTCTGACTTTAGGTTGTAATGGAGAAATGTATTCATACTTATTATCCATCATGCTTATAGAAGACTTTTATGGTTCCCAAAATGTAGAGAAAAGACAGAAAAGCATGAACATGCCTTTTTAATTCCATGCAAATGATGTGCTGGGTTTAATTTGCTTTTAGGGAAATCATACTTTAGCACCTGTCTATAGACACACTGCCTGAATTACTTTTTACTACATTTTAAATAGCTAAAATTATGTTAAAGCATACTGCTCTTCAAAGCCAGGTTAGCCAAGGAGCTGACCTTTAATCCTTTATCCTTTGGAGACATCATGAGGGTTACTAAACATTTATCATTTAACAGCTTAGGGGGTGGGGGAGCCAGAACCCCCACCTAATGACCAAATGCAACTCAGCAGATCAGAGGAGAAACCTATGGTAACTGAGAGACAGTTTTACAATTCACAATAAGGGCATTTCTATATGAGTATTTTTTGGGCCTTTGGCTCTTGTATCTACACTCATTGTTTTGTGTAGTAATAAGGTAAGGTTCACTGAGGCCTACAGTCATTTTGTAGAGATTACCCATACTGTTACATAAGCGCAACTCCTGATGATGGTTAACCAAGGCACTAACCATTGGTGATAGAAGTTGTGTGGAACTAGATGTCACTGTAATTTACACAGTGCTTCCATCCCCATTCGCTTCATTGATCCTTAATAATAGCTTTCTATATACCGTATATACTCGAGTATAAGCCAAGATTTTCAGCCCATTTTTTTGGGTGAAAAGTGCACCCCTCGGCTTATACTCGAGTCAACGCCAGCGCGTCTTCTTACTTACCTCGCCGAGCTTTGCGTCACTGCTGCTCCGGTGTGCGGCGCTCCGAGCGGGGTCATCTGGCAGTCTCCGGGTCCTAATTTAGGTGGCCGGAGACTGCCAGATGACCCCGCTCGGAGCGCCGCCCACCGGAGCAGCAGTGACGCGACGCTCGGCGAGGTAAGTAAGAAGAAAAAAAAAACCCCCGCAGCGGCCAGTCAGGCAGGGGAGCAGGGATGAGTCAGCGGCGCGCTGATCAGGCGAGAGGAGCTCCAGGTGGGGTTGTAATTTAGCGGGCAGGCACCTCTGAGCCAGCTAAATTAGGACCCCACCTGGAGCTCCTCCCACTGGACCAGCGCGCCGCTGACTCGTCCCTGCTCTCTCCGTGATGTGATGATCGATCACCGGCACACGGACACAGTGAGTGAGGGCCGGGGGGGGGGGTAGAGAGAGATTCATTAAGCAATTATATATGTATTGTCTGCACTGTATTAGCAGTATATACTACATATAGAGTATATACTGCTAATACAGTGCAGACAATACATTTACAATTATACTAACATGAATGTATTAAATGATCTGTATGTAGCCCTGTACTATGGATCATTTAACCCATTCATGTTAGCAGAGGATCATTGTAAATGTATTGTTGCAGGCACTCTATATGTACATGTACTATATACTACATATAGAGTGCACTGAACAATAGATTTACAATTATCCTCTGCTAATATGAATGGGTTAAATGATCCGTAGTACATGATATGTAGCCCTGTACCCCCTTTTCCACTTACAGAGCTAGGTTATTTTTCTTTTAAATAAATATTAATGTAATTGTATTGGTATCTATCTACCAGTAGCTGCCTCATTTCCCACCCTCGGCTTATATTCGGGTCAATACTTTTCCCCAGTTTTTTTTGGTAAAATTAGGTACCTCGGCTTATATTCGGGACGGCTTATACTCGAGTATATACGGTAGTTGCTTTTAAACATGATTTGTTGGAAGTGAATGAGTTTTTTGGCTTAGCAAACTGTAGCAAATCACTTTGTAGTGCTGTGATGTCAAAAATATCAATTTCACGATTTAATAGTATACCTACTATGGCCTTTACAATTAAAAGTAAAATGTTGTTTTAGTTTATTTTGGTTTTGGTTTTATTATAAGAAGACCTTATTGGTAGTATTTCTAACCATAGGCAGACGTATCAATCCATGATTACCCAGACATAGAAAAAAAACTGTAAATTGGTTTCACCTTGAAGGATATTCAAGGTGCTCTACTTCTGCATATAGCCTAGAATTTTATAGGTGCTCAGAGATTATATATAATAAGCCTTTGCCATATTTACGGCAGTACACATGCTAAAATATCTTAATCTGTATATGTTTGACATACTTGCATAAACACAATGACAGGGACATTTATCTATACACTATAAATAAAAATGCATTAATGATTATGCAGTGAAAACATTAACACAGTTCCCTTTTTCTTAAGATTATAATGGTAGCTGATGTCCATTTTTCTGTATGGTTACCCTGAGCTGTGTTCCTATGACGTAATAGATGCACTATGTTCAAAATTTTAAACAATAAGCCTTCAATGCATACAAGGATCACACCCTACTTGCTCAAGGCCTCATTGTTTCATAAAGCTGTAGTGCACCAGTCTACCCCATTCCCATCTGTCAGAAATCACTGCCTAACAGTTTGTATTGCAGATCATGTATGTCCAAACAAAATAGACTGCTTGCTGTCTCTCACATACATGAGGTGTTAATACTAAGTTCAGCTGAGTTACTTCATTACATTCACTGGTCAGATTCAAAAATCGATTGGATGTTTTAATCTGAATAGTGATACATTAGGCAGAGAGAAAGAAAGCCAGACAGCCTAGGCTTCAGAAGACAGGGCACTCCAATCCACATTTGAGATTGCTTTATTAAAATGGGCATTTGTTCTAATCATGATGTTTTTATGTCATTGTTAGTGAATGGGGGACATGCACTTTTAGTATTGAGAAGTAAAAATTGAGTATCTGTTCTTATTTCTAGCTGTGATAGTTCATCCCCAGTACGAAAAGAAAAGAAGAAGAAAAGTGGCAAAAAGCACAAAAGAAGCAGGTAATTTTTTTTGATCTTGCTCTATCATGGCAATCAGTGTTTTCCAAATATGTCTGTAACCACCGCATTACTACTCAAACATAAAATTCACAAGAAGGCACTCATACCTATATATATAGATGAGTATTGCTTCTGACCTGAAGAAGAGAGGTTCACTCTCGAAAGCTTGTCTTTTATATATTTTGTTAGTCCAATAAGAAAGGTATAATTGCACACTGCAATACTGCGTAATCAAGTGAACCTGTGATCAAATATTAATATTTTCCATAACAATCTTGCTGGGAAAATTAACTAAAAACTAGGTCTGAGCAAACCTGTCTGGGTTTGTTTCAAGCTGGGTTCAACTAACTAAGTGTAAAGTCTGTGAACCCCAAGCACCAAACCTTTTTGAAATCTAGTGAGATTTTCTTTGGCCTTTTTCAAGGTAAATATGCAAACAATTGTTAATGCAAAAAAAAACAAAAAACTGCTCAGCAGGGAGAAGGTCTTTTCATGTGGCTTAAAGAGCAACAGATAAAAATACACAAATCCTTTTAATAACACACTTGAGCGATTCCTAAATCTGCATGTGGTGTTAAGGAACTTTAAAAGTGACAGTACAAAAAAAGTGGCGAAAAACAGCATGCAGTTCTCCCTAAATATCAAACAAGACCCTTATCCAGCCATGCAGCCTAGGTAACCAGGAAGAGGAAGGCAGCAAGTGTGCAGCCCCCCCCCCCCTCCCAATTCCTGTCCTTTACCAGGCCACATGCCTTTTAACATTGGGGTGGGTCTCTTACCCAAGGGGGGTCTCAAAGCTCCCCTCCTTGCAAGGCACCTTGTCCCTTGCCACAAGCTTTCACATCTAGTCCCCCAAAAAGGAACTAGGATGCGGGAGCTTGTGGGGAGGAGTGGACTTATAGGGCCTCCAGATACAGTATCTACCCCTTAACAGGGAAATGAGTACAGGGGTACATTATTAGTCCTTATTTCTCATTGACAAAAAAGTGAAATGTAAATAAACACACTGACGCTGTGAAAAATATGATGTATATAATGTCCTCCAATTTAAATCTATCATCCATCACATTGTCCAGTGATGTACATCTATTATCAGCCATGCTGTCTAGTGATGTTAATCCTCATTAATCAAGACAACCCTTGGCCCAACAATGTTTTTCCACCACCTGACAAAGTTTGCCCTTTGCTCTCCTGCTGCTAAATAACAGATCCATGGCTGCTAAAATGTAAACAGCCGGGGATCCCTGTAATGTCATTGACAATATATAGTTATCATATTTGGTCAATGATGTCGCCAGGGATCCAAGGCTGTTTGTTTACATTCTAGCAGCCAGCCACTTGTCCCAGCAAACTATTCAATTAGGTTCAACCTGTACGTGAGTCTCATCTCTACTAAAGACTAAAACGGGGGCTGAAATACCCTTTCATAGAGAACACGCTGCTCCAGGTTCCCTCCAGTGCTGCTCATATATCGACAAGCCAAGGCATTTGGTCATGTAAAACATGTTACAGGGGAGGATCAGTCAATTAACTTTGATCTTCACTTTTGGTAGAGATCATGTGATCAAATGTCTGGTCTTGTGGGAAATATGTAAGGGGGATGGCAATGACTGTAGATGAAGGGGCTTGGTTGCTTGGTGTTAAAACTGTTGGGATAGTTACTTGAAGAAGTAGGTTTTGCAGTGCCTTTTAAAGACAACACAGTGGGGCTGAGTTTAATAGGAAGAAGATTCCAGAGAATTAGGTTTGATATAAATCTCATAAACCCATATTTTATTCACAACAGAAAACCGAAAACATATCAAATGTTTAAACTGTTTAAAGGTCATTTTGAAATTGATGGCAGCAACACATTTAAAAAAGTTGGGACATGGCCATGTTTACCACGGTGTAGCATCCCCTCTACTTTTAACAACCCTCTGTAAACTTCTGGTAACTGAAGAGACCAGTTGCTGGAGTTTTTGTAGAGGAATGTTGTTCCATTTTTGCTTGATATAGGATTCTAACTGCTCAACAGTCCTGTGTCTTCTTTGTCATATTTTCAATTTCAAGATGCGCCAAGTATTATTAATTTGTGAATGGTCTGGACTACAGCCCTGTTGAGTAGATAAGCACCTGGACAAGTCTACTAGGAAGCCATCCTGTGATCATAGAATGCAGTATGTGGTTTATCATTGTCCTGCTGAAATATGCAGGCGTTCCCTGAAAAAGACGTCGTCTGGATGGGAGCATATGCTGCTCTAAAACTTGGATATATCTTTCAGCAATGATTGTGCCTTTCCAGATGTGCAAGCTACCCATTCCATATGCACTAATGTACCCCCATACCATCAGAGATGCAGGCTTTTGAACTGAGCGCTGATAACAAGCCAGTAGGTCCCTCTCCTCTAGGTGAGGTCAGTCTGGTATCAAGCCTGTCTCAGATCTGGTATAAAGCCTGGTTGCAGGGCTGCGTGTTTAGGTACATTTTTTGTTATGAATTCTGAATAAAGCTGACCATAAGCATTGAAATCTGATTGCACAATTTCCTGTAGATGTACCATCAATTAGGTAGTGCTGGGGCCTGCCTGACTGCATAAAAATGTAATTAACTGTCTAGGTTAACACTCCAATCAGATTGGAATGCTCATCTTTAAAGTGAGTCTGTTAGATAAATAATTATAAAGCTTTGAAATGGTAATGGTTTTATTAACTTTTTAGTGCAGAAATTATCATTTTGAAACAATAAAAATGGCATTCAGTCACAGTTATGTATGTTATATTTGATAAACGCAAACTAAGCAAACACAACATTCTGTAGTTTTAGGTGGCAGTGCAGTAAAATGGCTCGGCATAGGGTAATGCACTTAAGTCTACAGCTGAATGCAGTGTGTGGATAATGGGGGCTTTTTTTGTCTAATCATCTCAGAAGAAAGCATACAAATCTTATCTGTATGTTCACAACTAGTGACTTTTTGCACACTGTTTGACATGCATTCAAATACTAATTTCAGTAGTAACACATGCATATATGACAGATATATATGCTCATTATACAGATTGTCTCTGCTTCCTGTTTTGCAGTGCAGCACAGTGGTCATGCTTTACTGCTCCTTCTCAAAATTCAAGAGAGTCAGTTAATGGAAACAATGCACTCTGTATGCAAAAAGACAGAGTAATTTGCACTGAGCCACTGAGAGCTCCAGATAGTGGCTAATCTGCAAATCTATATTTATTGTAACAAAAATATGTACGTTTCATCAGTTCATACGTTTGTAAAAATATGAAAGTTTTTTTTTTTTTAAATCTTTTTATTCATTTTGCATATTTTAGTGTACAACATGACACCAACAAGGTGCCTAAACAACAACAGATTAGCTATACATTACGGCATAACATATGCCAATTCCTATCAAATCGCCATAAACAGTAGCCCCAATCAGTGTCCCCCCCCCTGAGATACCCTCCAACGTACCCCCACCCCCCTTTACCTCCCAGGATAACAATTAGCAACTAATATCGAGCCCATGTACAGTGCTGAGTCAAACTTCCATCTCATGCATCTAGAACCAAACTGATATCATATTCTGGGGCGAACTCCGTACTAGTCTCCTGCCCCCTCAGGGTTTTCTCTCCCGTGGAATGTAAGAGGTGAAAATATGAAAGTTTCATTAAAAAAATTACTTGTATGTAAACAGTGCAATAATAACTCAAAATATTTACTAACTCAAAATATACTATACCTTTTATAGAGCTTTTCTCATTCTCTTGTTATAGCCTTCTGGATAATTGTAGTGGCAGTGTATAGCTGCATTTCCAGTTTTATTTTCATTGTTTTGCTTATTGCTTTAGAATGTGAAAAAATACATACATTTGTAATATGTCCAGTATCAGACAGTTATAGCATAACCTTTGCACCTTGTCCTGGATAAGTGATACATGTTGGTGAGCTCTAATGAACAAAACTATTGAATTCTGCATTATAAGATAATTAGGCCTGATTGACCGGTTTCTTGTTGTTGGAAAAGGGATCAAACTTTCTTGAAGTGTAAGACCAAGATATAGTTATTTTTCCAGGATTGCTTTAATAAGGCACATATGAACAGTATAATAACAAATAATCACTTTTTAGTGGAAAGTTAACTTAATTTCTTAATAGTTTGCTTTACTTTTTGAGTGTATATATTATAATATAATTAATTAACAACATCTATCTATTATTAATATTATTCGCATATTTTGTGTATATGCTTAGTCCCAAATGTAAAAAAAGATCATATATTATAACAAATATTTTTGTTTTCTTTTTTCTTTTCTTTTTAAAGGTCAAATTCAGGTTCAAGGAAGAAGCAAGGACACAGGTAAGAGATTTAGGGTAAAAAGGAAGGTCCAGCCCCTAGTAAAAAAAAAATGCATAAAGTAAATAAAAGTGCGTGGTCTGTTTTGTAGTTTAATGTAATAAAAATTCTGTTGCCAGCCATGATTTATTAAAACTGTCAAAATGTTATTCCTTATAATCATAAGAGTACTTAGTTTGTATATGGGATTTCACAGAATTCTTGTTCCCCTGCTCCTGCCATGAGCACACTACTTTTCACAGAACACTACAAAAACTTTGAGGTCAACCTATAAGCATAAAGAAAACTTCACCAGCATTTTATTTAGTTATATTTATATTTACATCTACAGTATATGCCAAGTATGTTGGTTGGATGTTTTGATTAATTTGGCTGTATTTGCAATTAGAAGGTGGTTTAATTGCTTGAAAATCGTCTCTTCTATTGCCATCATTGACTTTTAGTTCCATTTTACCTTCTTGCAATTACCAATCTAAAGAATATTGCAAATGCTTTTCTAACTGATATTGAATTTCAGCAGTGCAGCAGTGCAGTGAAAGCATCATCCTCCTTTTTATGGGGAAATGTACTAAAGATTATTCACCACCTGCATACATTTTTAAGTTGTTTGAGAAAAAAACTCTGCTGAATAACAAGCATTTTCAGTACTTATTATCACTGGCTCTTAAACCCCTACATAGAGCAATTATCACAAATGATGGAACTGGGCTGACCTTTTCTGAACTCTTGGCCATATAAGTCTACGACAACTTCCACTTTTAAATGACTTCCATAGGATTGCTAAGATTGTTTTGTGTCCGTGTTGAAGACATTTGCCTAATTTTCTGTCCTGACAGGAACTGAGGAAAAATGTCCCCATTAGGGACAGAGATTGTAATAAAAATATGACAAAACATCAAAACATTCCCTGTTGTATCCAAAAATAAATAAAAAGTTTTGGCTGAAGTTGGGTATTATTAGATAATTTTTTTTAGATTTGTTTCACTTGATTCACGTCAGGCAAAACTTCGTAAGAAGAACATAAAAAACATTTCAAACAGGGACTTGGAAAGTTGTATACCATTACTTTTTTTTATCTGTGATTAGTTTGATTCTAGTGGATGTAGCTCTATTTGTGCCAGTCTTCAAAAAAATTACACTTTTAATTATATTATGGAAAAAAAGTCACTATGCTGGATCACAATAGCATGATTAGCATGATTTGCAGTATATATTTTATGACTTTAGATGCTTATTTGGTAAGATGGTCAGTCTGTATATTTCCTCTTGTTACTTTGTATGGTCCATGCATCGTTGAGCTAATAGATAGGTTCTACACTTGTAAGTGTAGCTGTTCATTTTATGGTGCCAAGGTCATTGCCTGCAGTTCCCAACACTTACTGAAGAACCATACAGGGAAGGAAAGGCAGTACAAATATAACAGTTAAACAATAGTCTCCAAAGAAATGGGTGGGAGCAATTGACAGAGGAGATGATAACAAGTATAACAGAAAATTACCTCTAATTGGAAAATAGGGCACCTGCAAAGAAGAACAAATAGCACTATTCATTTATAGATTGGACTAAGAAAGAAAATACGCTCTTAACTGCTTAGCTATTTTGCTGTCAAGTGCTTTCCTATTCTGTGCTGTACACTGAGATTAGACTTTAGCTGTAACTGAATATAACCATGGGATGTATGTATTGTGGATGGTAGTTCTCTGACTTCAGCGTCACTATTTCTTTTCAGTGCATAAAGTATAACTAAAGCCTTAAACTGAGGATTAAGAAGGCACATTTTTATAATAGCAGGACAAATAAAAGAATTGTTTACTTGTGTAGCACTGAACAATTTCGCCAATGAGTACAAAAAGTTGAAATGAATGTAGTGGACAAAAGACATAAAGTGAATGTGTTAGTTTTTTGTGCTGATGAAAACATTATGTACCAATCATTTGCAAAGAAAATCATGAGTAGACCACAGAATTAAATAAATTATAAGTATGAATGCACACAGCTGGGAACATAGGGGTTCCCATCTCATGTGCAACCCAGGTTCACCTTGGAACTGTAGTATATGCTGACATTGTAGTTTTAAAATTCAAATATAACTCTCTTGGGCTTGGTCAGTAAGATTCATGTACAGTAAAGAACGTCCATGCCGAAAGTACAGTGTGCAATGACACTGTGCATAAAGGATTAGCCCACAGCAATTACATTTTAGTTAACTGTACTTTTTTCCAGGAAAATGTGAATGCAAAATCATTTCAACCAGTCATTGTGCATGCAGGCTGGCTGTTCATTCACAAAATATTCCACAGATGCTACTGCAGCGTGAAGAATGCAGTGTGCATCTTGTTGATTCTGTATTTTTCAATTTGACAATTGTGGCATTAAAACATTTTTTTAAAGGTATATCTTTAATTAAGATTTAAAAGAAACTCTCAGCTTTTCTGCAAAGTAAAAAATAAGAAACCTTTAGCCAGTATTCTGAATTCTGAAACACTGTTACTCAGATTGTATTTTCTACAAGAGCATGAGTTTTAATGCTAAATACAAAATACTAAAACATACCCGAGCAATCTGCAAAATGCCAAGCAATACTCCAAGTATGAGAATACAGAACATCATTAGATCTTAAAAAAAAGATTCCTCAATTCCAGTTGGACTTTTAAAAATGGAAATACACTCAGCACTAGGCATAGCAAACCAACAGGTTTTTTATTTTGGGGTTAGTGCATGTGCACTGTATCCCTTCAGACTGTCTGCAAGTTGAATAGTGGCATGTGTATCTGTTCCATGGGTCCCTTCAACAAGCATCTACTTCAAATTAAGTGGCTTGATTCACCACAAACTGACGTGAGGATCTGATTGCTCATCACTAGTCATTACACTTTGTACTACCTTATTTCTCATTAAGTGGCCCCCTTCTTGTATATGAATGTCAGTTTTAATACCTTTCAACCCATATTTTAACTTTTAAGGCATAAAAAAAGTTGTGTGTAGCTTCTACTTTTATTAAAAGCTTTTTTTAATACAGTTTTAACATCTATATAATTTGTCTGATTTGTTTGGCACCAAGACTTGAGATCACTATACATTTGAAAGGCTATTTAAATAATAAACTCTTTATTTCTTTGAAAAAATTGAGTGAAAGTTGAATTATATAACAATATTTGTACCATGGAAATTTGAAATACTGTCGGGGATATTCACAAAAGGATGAAGAGTATGGAGAAGGCGGGAGAAGTGAACACCTTAGGACAACATAGCTGAACTGCAAAGTGAGCTAAACTGGAGAATTTTTCCAAAATTAGCTATGTTGTCCTAGATTGTTCATTTCTCCTGCCTTCTCCAAACGTTCCACTCTTTTGTAAATAACCCTGTGTATGTCCAGAGTAATGCTATGGAAAGCTTTCGACTTGTATATTTTAGAATGTCATATGTCTTTCTTTGTAAGATATTATAGAGTAGATGACACAAAGACCAACCTGTGATACCAATCCATACTTGTTACACTTTAACACTTTAACTTCAGAGGCTTTGAGTCCCAATGGCATGTTAAGACAAGCTTAAAAGCTGTAGTCTCAGCACTGAGGGACATCATCTGTTTTTTCTGTTGAGTTGTTTAATTTTAAATTAATGTTATTTATGATTAGCACCTTTCTGTCCATGATGGCTCACATAGATCTTACTGAACATAATACAAGATTGATATGTTTACCTACCGGAATCTGCTGATGTGTTATTGTATAGTTTGGGATTTTACACTTCAGGGCTGATTTAGTAAAGGAATATTTTTCACCGTAGTCTGTGTTTAGTCAAATACCCAATGATAATTCAAATTACCAGGGGAATATAAAACAATAGAAGTTTCCTGGAAACCCAACTGTGTATTTTAGGCGAACATAGGCTACCATGAAAATTGTTCCTTTAGTAAATTAACCCAGTAAATTAATCCATTTGGGGGTACATTACATTTTGTGCATCAGAACCTTGCTAGGAAGGTGAAGAATAGGTTAAAACAATTTACCAAATACTAGAGTACTAGTTATTGTCCACATTTCCTTTAAATAATGTATAGAAAAAGCTTGTTTTAGTGACTATATCAATTGCAAGCTTGCAAAACTCTTTTAGATGGGATTGAGTTTTATATACATTTCATAACCATGAACCATTTTTCCCTTTTGTTTTGTTCCTGAACAGATCCAGAAGCCTCAAGAACAAAAAGAAAGATAAAACTAAAGACAGGAAGAGGTATGGCAATGTTTGTCTGGTATTTTGGGGCAACTTAAATACTTAATAGGGCAGATGCTAAATAGAGGTAAATTACCTTTTGTGCTGTTATTTACCTTTAATGCTCTTACAGAAAAAACAACTGATTTAAAATATATCTAAACTATAACTGGATCACATTTAGTTTTCACCGTGTATCATCCTTTTTTTTGCCTTTCAGCACTGCTGATTTCTTGCAGCTTTTTTTTAGTCACTTGTCTACATTCATTCAATTCATCTGCACATCACTTTTAAGGACTGGCTTGCTAATACTGAGAATGGTGGACTGTGCCTGTGCAATTATGTAGTCTCCACTGGAATGGGGGACAACACAGAAGAACAATAGGAACACAATTGTCACCAAATAACAGGAAGGACCTGAACAAGGGCCTTCATAGCAGGGTCATCAATGATCTTTAATGAAAATGGCATATTATAAAAGATTGAAAACAACTTTTGAAATTGCATTAACATGTCACAGTGATCCTTGCATCAAAATGTAATGTTCACTTATTGTTTAGACCTCCCCACTTCCCCATGTGATTAATGAACTTTAGGAGAAAAACAAGAACATGTACAGTACTTACTTCAAACCCTGGCTTCCAACCATGGCGCCTAGGTGAGGGTGGCATCGAAAATGCGGCTGGAAAGTGCTCCATCACAGTCTTGCCATAATAAATGTAACACATAAATACAATTAAAAAGACACATATGCTTATTTCTATAATAGCAGTTTTAATTTTAGAAAAAGTGTGTGCAAGCTGTATAGAGTGTCTAAAAGTATGTAATTCATGTATTTCCTGGTACCCACATCCTACATACTGTATGTATTAGAACAATTAAAAAAAAGAAAACATTTAATGGTACCTAAATTCGCAAAAAAGTACATAGTGGGGTTGCTTAGTAAAACATGAAGTGTAGATATAAATCTTTTTAAGCTATAACATTACAATGCTGCATTCACACCTTTTTTTAGGTGCATTAGGCTGTAACATGCAAATATCTTCAAGAATTTCTCAACAAGTGTAAAACTTTGTGGGTGCCTTTATCAGAATTCTAGGCAAATAGCTTAATGTAAATTATGCTCAGTGTCTTTTGTCTTTGGTCTCTGTTTTTTGTATGTTTATGTCCCAGCCATCTTATGAAATCAAACCGAAACTTAGAAGGAAAAATGTGGTCTAAGATTCAAACACACACACACTAAGATAAGGTCAACCACATGTGGTTTTGTAGGTAATAATTATATATACTTTCTTGAAAAAGTCACTGAACTATGAAAACAAGATAGGTATATTGAAAGACACTAGGATACACCTGTAAAAAAAAATTCAGTATACAGCGCAAACTGTTGGCACTATATAAATCCTGTATAATAATAATATCCAAAAAAGGACAGGTATTTTATTTAATGCAGGCATATGCATTATTATGTGTTAAGGAAGGCCTGTCATATATACTGTACATCTGTAAAGCATTTGTCATACCTTATAAAAATGCATTAAATAAATGCAGGCTATATATAAGCATTATAATCCATTAAATGATCCCACAAATGGTCAAGCAAAGGGCATTTTTGGAAGCAACAATCCAGACTATAACAGTTTAAAGCTAAGCAATTACATACAATTCCTGCTGTGTCTTCAAGTCAAAGGGGGTGATTTACTAACCTAAACACACGCACGCACTAGGTGCGTGTGATTTTTACACAGCAAAACGTATTTATCAACCAAAAAGTCTCTAAAAGCATATTTCCACTAATGCCATATATGGAAAAATGATGCATATATAATGCTGCTTCACAGTTTAGACAAAAATGGTTAGCTCATGCATTTACATTCCTGCATTCATCAACGCAAGCAACACAACATAGAGCTAATTTACACAACATCACCTTGCAAATTCATGCTTGGCTTTGCACAACACACCTGCTGGGTGTGTACACACTACAAAGGTGTTTAGATTCCACCCATAGATCATGCTGGGAGGGAACACACTACAGAGGTGTATACATGTTCGTGGTGTGTTTATAAGGTTAGTAAATAAACCCCAAAGGCTCAGTTTGATGTAGAGAGTCACTTTTATCTCTAGCATTCTCAAGGGAAAAAAAGGCTGCCAGAGTGAATGTGTTGTTGGCTGGGGCATGCACAGAGCAAACCCAACATCCCTATGTGATGAAAATCTGCTGCCATGGTGTAAAATGTGCCTCTAATAATTAATGCAGAGGGGTTGATTTACTAAAGGCCAATTGGCTGTTCACTTTGCAAGTGGATTTTCACTTTGCAAGGGGATTTCCCCTTAGCTTAGTGAATGTGGTGAAAATTTAATTTGCAAAGAATACCGAAAAACATTCAAGGAAATAAAAAAAAAACAACCCCAGTATATTACTTGCACATGATTTGATGATGGGAGTCAGCAGAGCTTCACCTTATTCACCTCACTGCAAAGTAAACAGCCTATTTGCCTTTAATAAATCAACCCCAATGCATCTACATCTTAATAACAATTTTACTGAAGCATTAGGTTCTAAGGGTCTAACATTTCCCCACTCTGCTAAAATGTGTTTTTATTGTTGTCTGTGACTTATTTTGCCCTGCTTATTATGTCCTGGCTACACAGCAGGCATTGTTGAGGAAAAATTTACCTAATGAAGAGCAGTCTATTCAATGTAGCTTGTGCCAGTGATAAGTTAAAGCCCATCTCTGCGCAAACCAAAAAACTACTCTTGCAGTGGAGCAATCCTGCATGTAAGGGTTAACTGCTTGTTTCTACCTAAGGTACCAGAGTAAAAACCTTTAATTATGCACAGTGGCATAGTGGTTAGCGCTTCTGCCTTGAAGCACTGGGGGTCTCTGGTTCAAATCCCAGCCAGATCACTATATGCAAGGAGTTTGCATGTTCTCCCTTTGCCTGCTTGGGTTTCTTCTGGTTTCCCCCCACACTCCAAAGACATGCTGGAAGGTTAATTGTCTTCGGTCTAAATTGGCCCTCATATGTACGCATGTGTGATAGGGACCTTAGATTGTAAGCACTGTGGATAGGGACAGACATGAATGTGCGCTATGTAAAGCACTGTGTAAAATTGTTTGTGCTATATAAATATTTGTAATAAATAAATAAAGGGGAGACGAGGCGGTGGAGACTGGTCTAGCAGCCCAGAGGGAGCTGGTAGGAGTAGGAATCAGGTAAGTAAAATAGCTTTTTCCGGTCCCCTAGGCATAAACCAGCACTTAAACCTTGCAGTGAGGGGGCATCCCCACTGCAGGGGTAGTTTTTTGGTTTGCCTGGAGATAGGCTTTAATGGTTCATTCGACCTGCCTTTATGCACCAAAGACTGAAATAACAAGTTTAGGTGTCAACGTGTTAAAGAAATTGGATTATTAATCAGTAGATTTCCAACCTGCTTTAAATGTTTTCTCTTCACTGGACTAATGCTGTTTTGGCAGATCTCACAGTGGCTCAGTGGTGCGAAGAACACACAGACACAGTAGCTGTAGTTCTCACAGTCCATCACCTTCTTCCGATTACAGCACCTCCAAGTCACCGTGCAGGTATAGTATGTATTTGCTTTACAATTTGCCAACATTGCAGCTAGGAGGTCGGACGTACCTGCATGCACAGAAAAACATATTTTAGTACCTTAATTTCCTATGTCAGTTCATCCCATTTTTCTGCCTTCTGAGCCTTTCTTTTGGTCCTTTAATGTGACAGATAACCACAATGTCAAGCAGAGAGTCTGAGGAGGCAAGATGGCAGGGCCAAATTCTACTTTTACAAAAAAATTCAAGAGTTGCCTATAACTTCATCTATTATAACTTAACCACTACCCGTCCAGCGGCCATACATAAACGGCCGGATGGGAGCCTTGTAGATGCAAGTGGACGTTTTAAAACATCCTTCCCCACCCTCACTGGGAAAACTGCTATCATTTCAAACAGCCAGCGATGACTGTTTAAATACAAGCGTTACATCGGCTGTAGTTACAGCTGATTGCTTGTATTTTGTGTGGGTGTGCTCCACTGCGCCGCTACCGATCCCGAGGTTCGCTGTGCTCGTTGCGGGACCGACACGTCGGCTCTGTGACCGGAGAGCAGAGGGAGATCAGTACACAATCTTCCTCTGATTTCTTCCCCAGCCTCTGAATGCAGGAAGTGATGTTTATTACATTGCATTCAGCTGTCATTCCTGCTACAGAAGCCGGGGAGAAACTAGTGAAGCAGATCTTTGATTCATCAGGTTCTCTGGAGGTCCCTTGGTGAGTCTTAGAGACTCCTGATGTCTCCATAATTAGGACTTGTCATTGTAAATTTGTTTTGCCCCCTGTGTGATAGCACTAAAGTTAAGTGTAAAGAAAAAAAAAGTTTAAAAAAATTAAACACATATTAAAAAACACAAACATGCGTCTGGTGCACCTGCATCAGGTTTGGTTTAGTTTAAGTTAAAAAAAGGATACTGTAATATTTGTTTCCTGAACTGAGACTAGCTATATATGCCAAAATCATGCCAAATGATTAATATATATGGGGCTGTACATGTCAGATTTTTGGTCATTTAGACTTCTGGATCATGCAGTGTGGAAACAGAATCAGGTTTACTTTAGGTATAGATGTTGCAACTTGTTGTCACCATAATATTTTGCACTTTTAGCTTTTTCCTCTCATGGCTTATTGCTTGTTGTAACAAAAAGGCTGACCTGTTTTTTTTCTGAACTATAAATACCAGATTTTGTAAAGTAATTGTCTTTCTTACCACTTGTAGACAAAGTCCTAAGCGTAAACAAGATGACCATAAAGCTTCTAGCCACAGATCCAGCCGTAGCCTGTCGTCTTCTTGTACCGGTCATAGCCGATCTGCCACACCACATCAGAATGGGCACAAGAGTGGCAGCCATAATGGTCACCACAGTCAAGGGCATGGCTCCATTGTAGAGAAACATTTAGATGTAAGTATACATTTATAAAATACTATTTGTGTAGTACCATTCTTACCCTGTACTCCTTCCTGTACTACCTTATCTGATTTCAGTAGTCCTCCACTGAGGTTTATGTATTGCACATTTGGCTAAGAATGTAGACTTTAGGAAGACTTCCGTAGTTCTAGTGGCATTATTATGTGTAAAGTTTGATTCTCAATTTCTCTAATTGTAAAAATTACAGAAAGGCCTGGTTCAGCTCTACGGGTTGTTCAAGGCTGCTTTCTGGCTGATCCCCTATACCCCTTTGAATGCTCTCTCCCTCTGTGGTGCTTTAAGCAGAATTTTCTTGGGGAAGTGACTTGTTTTAATGGAAGTGACCTGGATTGAAGTGTATCTGTGAACTGTACTGTAAATGCATTTAATATCTAAATTGTGGCCTCCGTCTAGCAGACTGTTTTTTTATTATATGTTAAAAAGGGAAAACCAATTGTGCCAGCTATGTAGAAGGGGTTGAGATATATAAGGAGAGTCACAAATATACTTTACTGGGGTCTATTCACTAAGCTGCCACGTGACTAACCGACCCCAAGCGAAATGAGCCGAATGCTGTGCGGCTATTCACTTCATGCTGGTACGGCTGATTCCACTGCCTTTTAGACTCCCAGAGCGTCCGGGGGAGGAATGACAGATGGCGTTCCTGGTTACCGAGTAACCAGGAACGCCATCTGTCATTACATAGTGAGAACACGGAGAGGCCGCTGTGATATCATAGTGGCCCGGCTGTGATATCATAGTGGCTGTCATTACAGTGTGTAATGACAGCGTCCCAGGGATGCTGATCTCTTGGCAAGTGGCCGGAGCCAGCCGTAAGATGACGGCTGGCTCCGCCCCGGTTATCAGAAGCAGGCTGTTGGCCGGCCGCTCGGCCAGCTTCGGCTTTCACCTTGGCTCAGTCGAGCCGAAGCATATGCCTTTGGCTCGACTGAACCGCTCGGCCGACTTCTGGGGGCTTTACGGGCTATAGTGAATAGCCCATACTGCAGCCCTTCGGTTCTACTGAACCGAAGGGGTCCTGTGGCCGAAGCTAGCCGAAGGATCAGCCGAAGGATCAGCCGAAGCTACGGCTGATACTTCAGCAGCTTAGTGAATAAACCCCCACTATGTCCCTGCCACGGCTGTCATAAAAGGATGTTTTGATCAAACAATTATTTTGGGTCAGTATTTTCTGTAGTATGTCTTGTAGCCAAGAATGGTTTGAAAGAAAACAAAGGTGTAATGAAAATATAATTTGATATGTAAGAAGTTTTGATAAGTAAGTTTTTTATTCATAGCATCAAAAAAGACGGATAGTCAAACAATATGAATTCCTGTCCGAGAAATACAGCATTAACAATTAAAACCTGATATCTAGACTTTACAAAATATTGTAACGTACATTCAGAATTGTATTGCATGCATTTTGGAAAGAATTAATAGATGATTTCTGTAATGGAAGATATTTAAAAGTGAATATACTGTACACCAGTGACCCAGTTTCATTAAAGTAATATTAATTGGCCTCCATTAGTTTCAAGTGCTATATTATATTCTCCTGTTAGTTATTATGTCTTGAGATACACAACACAGTTTTTTTTGATAGACAGTCAAATTAAATCTAAAACATTTTTTTCTAAACATTCAGTGCAAATGATTATTCAATAATAAATTACTGATTTGACTGTGTGTGAAATGTAATGACTATTATAATTGAAGTTTAGTTATTTAAAAAAATGCTTAAACTCTCATGGCTCTCTGGTAACCCAGAAACATTGGTTGTTAAAAATGCAAAATCTAACTCTCCTGTCAAAGTCCAGAGCTGGCCCATCCCCTGCTTCAACATCCTATTGGCCAGCGATGCCACATGTCACAGTGATAGGATGATAAAGAAATTAAGGAGGTGTGGGTGAGCTGTCAACTCCTCCAGGAAATGTCAGAATTGGTATATTGTTGCTCTCTGGATTTTAGGATTCCCAGTACAGTTGGGTATATGTATGAAGATGTTAGTGGCTACAGTTTATTGATGTAGACAGTTCAGTATGTTTAATTAGGCTAGTTGTAGTATGTAACTGTAATTTTAGCAAATCACAGATGTTCTTTAATCCCCTGGGGGCTTGGTAGGGATAGTAGACACTCTGGACATTTTAGGTTAAACATCTGGGAGGCCACTACTAACATGATGTCAACTGGTTCCAAATGTTATAAGATATCTTAAAAAATATCAGTATTGACAAATAATAAGAAAAGTAATAATACTTGTATTTAGATTAAACTAAATGAGCCAGTTTTCATATCCTTTTTTCAAGTTCTAAATATAATTTCATCAAAAAAAGTAAATGTTGAGCTAAGCACAAATCTGGGGATATTATCCATAAACAGGGGATAGTTAGGGAAAATCACATGTCAAATTGACCAGTAGATCCAGATATGGAGATATGGGACAAATCGACATTTCCTGTAAAAGTTGAGTGCAACCTCGTATATTTACCCATGAGGGAGTCTCGGGAGGCAGGAGAAACAAGGTTAAATTTGCCTTTTCAGAGAAATTTGAAATTTACATATTATGTTACCTTGGGTTGTCCACTGGTTTTCAGTGGTTTCAATGGTTTTTACTGGAGAAAACCTCTCCATATGCGTTTCCTCATAGTATGCTCAGTTAAATTTGCCTAAGAATGTGACAGGTTACTTTTACTGTGAATATTGTGAGTGCTGTTCTCTGCACAGTTATCAGGAAAAACATTCTTCTCTACAAACATATACATATACTTGTTAATAGGACATATACATCGTAAAATTCATAAAGCTTAAAATATATTTATATAATAAATCTCTTCAAATACATTTATACTTTCACAGGTATAGTAATTTTTTCAGATAAAAATGCCAAATCAGAGCATTTTTTTTAATGATTTTTTTTAACTCTGTAGCCACTGTGTTTTGTGTTCCTATGAGCCAAAAGAATGCTCTTTGAGTAGATATTGTATAAATTCTTCTCTGGCTGGATATTGGTATTATATATCAATATCCAGCCAGAGAAGAATGTATATTCATCTTTTTAGAATTGTTTTCTAATGGGATTTTCTGCTCTTTGGCAATTTGAATTAGCCAGTAAATTAGATAGTTTATTTGTTAAACATCAGTGTTTAATTAACAAGCTTAAACCTTAATAATATATTTAAATAAATTTAGAAACTTAATTTAGAAAAAAACCACTCACCACTCAGTTCACTGCGAAAATTATAATTTTTGAAATAGTGAGTTTATGGTTGTATATTTCAAGCAGATGTATTTCCATACATTTTGGAACTCTCAGTGCATGTGCTCAAGATTTCAGAGTAGTCAAAGAAATATCATTGGTATAGATCATGCTACAGACTTGCCTAGTTATACAATATGCCATGCCAATGCAGCATGCTAAACTTTAAAATAAACTGTCACATATGAAATGAAAATTGTGAAAGGTCGGAATTCATCCTCACCGTACCCTGAGAGCAGGCTAAACTCTGCTTCCAGGTTTACTGCATGGTAAGGTTTAGGCACTTTCCCAGTGCAATAAACAATGCAATGCAGGGGCCTCTCATTAATGTCAACATTGCAGTTTGGGAAAAAGCAGGTATGTAAAGGCTTCAATTTTGTAAAAAGTAAAAAAGTGGATAACAGTTTTGGGACTTCCAGGGCACATTGAGGAGGGATTTAAAACCTGAAGAAAATGTGTGTATGCTGGTAGCCTAAAGTGTATTTAAACCTTAATTTTTAAAATCATAAGATATTATTGTTTCTTACGCTTGTTCCAGTTATAACTATTAATTTTGCAATATTTCCCTTACTTTCCCTTATTTCAAACTAATAGGCAGATCCCTTGAAATGTGCATTCCCACTGAGTACTAGATGCTGATATGCCAGTGCACCTTGTGCCAGCATGTTCCGCATGCAAGTGCATAGTGGGGCATGCCAAAAGGATACACCTATTACCTCATCACTTCCCACCCTAGCACTCTTTCATTTCTCTTATTAAAAAAAAAACTATTTTTATAATTGGTGTATCCAAAAGGATACACCAATTATAAAAATGGAAGTTAAAATGTAATAATCACTAATTCTATCTTTATTCACTTTCTAAAAAATGAAAAACTGTTTATGCATTCCTCCCAACATAACTGCTTTTGAGCATTGACTTGCACCTATGCCGCAGGTGTGTTAACAGAAAGTCAAGGGTAGTAGTTGAATACAGTAAGTATCAAATATTTTTTAACAAAAAAATGAGCCAAACGGTGTAATTTACATTACCTGTATATGAGAGATTTTTGTTCTGAGGGTTTAGTTATATTTTAGTTTTTTCATATGCAACAGATCTGCTTACTGAGCAATTTTGGGGGTTTAGACACTTAATAATCCTGGGCCACCAGTTTATTTTATGTAAATAAACACAGACCTGACTGTGTTTTCTTCCTTGATGCCTTGCATTAATGGCAGTAGACAAATATTATTTAACAAGGCCATGGTATGTACACAGTAGCTGAAGACAAATGTGTAGATTAATCTTAGCAATAAGCTGTTTCCCAGTGGTTTTGAGTTTGAGATCTACCATAGGTGATGATCCCACTCTAATCAAATCAAATACTGATTTAACAATCCTTCCCCTGTCTTTCTTTCCTTCCATTGTAGAGCCGCATTTTTATTAACCAAAAATAGTTGCTTGAAATGTTGTTATCTTTATCTGCAGTATAAAAGAACAAAAAGCAAACTACTAAACTGAACATTAAAAGGCTGAGCCTATGTATTTTTATTTTATGTTTTTCGTAGAATTGAGCTGTTATTTATGCATATTCCTCTTTAAACATATATTGTGGTGTATTGAAAAATGCTTTATAACAATTATCTTAGATATGTGGCTATTGTATGTTACTGAGAAGCTTGCAGAAAAATACAACTGGGAAGACATTTTACAATGTAAAAGCCCTTGTCTATTTCTCAGTCATTGTTTATTTATA